GATTTTGAATTGCCAGCTATTGGTGAGGTGGGACCTTGTAAATGGAAAAAAAAAATTTCCTCTGCTAATTTTTTTGTTTGTTTTGGCCTATGAATATCACTTGTCATCATCTCGTAGTCTTTCACAGAGAATCAAGGGCTTCAAAACGACTTCTCTGATAGATTTGGGAAGAAAAGCTGAATCGAGAGAGTTTTCATATTTGGGAAGAAATGTTAGGTGAGCTGGACCTTCTAAATAAAAAATACAACTCTCCTTTTTATATTCACTCATACATTTGCATCTTTTCTTTCATTCTTCCAACGTTGTCTCATCCATCTTTCATGGAGGATGCAAACGAAATCAAGCGACTATGTCGAGTCGCAGTCCAGAGTGTTCCTGATGTCGACCAGAGTCACGTAGATCTGATGGTCTCTACTCTACTCTCGTTGCCTGATTCGCTAGCCACTGAAAGGTCCTTCGACCGAGCCTTTGAAGACTTGCTGGAGTCTTCCGGTGATGAGTCTACTGTCGACCGCGGACTCCAACTCGCTGCCCGTCTCCTCGAGTCCGCTAAAAGGTGCGCTCGGAGACGCGCCACACACCACAACACCATTTCTTGGCCGCTCCCTCATGAACTCACCGTTAAGGTAAACACATCGCGGTTGAAATCTAAAGTTGAACTGCTTTATCATTAATCGATTTTTAGCTTTTAAGATATTTTGTCTCAATTATGCTGGAATTTTGTGATGTGTCATATGGTATTCAGTCGATGACGGCGCTTGCTCTTAGGAAGATTTTATGAGTTGTTGTTTTTTTTATAGAACGTTCGAATTTAAAGTCAAAAGACCTTTTAACCCCAAAAAAAAAGAATTTAAAGTTAAATTGTTTTATCTCAATTAAGCTGGAATTTGTTGAGGATTCACTAAATCATGTGTATTAACAAAAAAAACAATTTTTTTTCCAATCATAAAGATCACTTGCGTCTTGCAGTATGGTAATGAATCATGAGAAAGATGTAATTGTTGAGGAAAATGTTAGGTGACTTGATTTATTAAATGTGATATGTTAGATTGATATTTTCTGAAAAAAAAATAATAACGAAAATATTAAATTCTTAATAAATTATCTTACAGTATACAAAATCACACATGTATTGAATGATGTTCCATAGATGTAATCATTTTTTTTGCTCTCTTGAGTTAATGTGTTTGAAATTGATTATTCAGATCTTTGGGTTGGTGGATACCAAATCGTTGGTCCAAGCGTCGGCTTCTTGTACCATGTTCAAGAGAAGTTCGATGGACCCGTTTTGTTACGGGGACATAGACTTGACCAACGTTAATGTTAAAAGTATAGTTGTGCGTGGTATGATCTTTAGAGCTGGAAAGGAACTCAGGTGAGATGTTGTGTACTCTTACTCTTAGTGTCCCTTCCTTTCTTCTTGATGCAAGTGAGCTTCTCATATTTCTTGATTTTCTATTCAATTACTCTCTATGGGTTTTGTTGCATGCAGGTCCCTTAAAGTTGGTTGCGCAGATGAACCAACCAAATCTCTGCTTACAAGATCTTGTCTCGACCCACTGTCTTACGATCATGGTTTAGCTGGGTATTTACTCTATACCTTCTATACGTAAAAAGTTGGTTCTACTGGTTTTTGTGGTGCTTCTAAATTCTAATTTGGTTTATTTACTTATTTTCAACAAGGAATCTCTTGGAGAGCCTACACATTTACAATCACGACGGAAAGCTGAGAAAGTCCATATGTGGTGCGTTGTCAGTCTGCTCAAATCTGACTGATTTGAAGATTGTTGGATTGTAAGTTACTAAGTTCCTTACCTATTGTTTTACCATATTCCTTGAATTGTCCATTCCCATATTCTGGTTTTCATCATCTATGATTTCCATTATTTGCTCAATTTGCTGCTTTTATGTCTGTAGATATTAGAATCTACTAGTTCCTCTTGTACCGTTTTGATAAGATCCATGAGTTTAGTCACCAGAAATTTACATCATATAGAGACTTTGGTAAAAAAGAGAATTTCAGTTATCATCCTAAAACCCTAGAAAACCAGAACGCCTAAACCCTAAAAGTGTATTTCTGGACTAACAAGAAAGCTTTTGATACTTTTTCTCACTTCCTATACAATATTTGTGTTTTAAATGACAGGGATATCCATACAGTAAGTGATATAGTCGATTTTCTCACAATCAAATGTGAGCATCTGTTCTTACAGAACGAGAATTTTGGTAATGTTTTTCCATTGTGATGCTTAATTAATTTGCTTTTGTTTGTCCTCCCATGCATGTTTGCTTACGCTGACCGTTATGTATGACAGTTGTATGGAGCCACTTAACTGGTTCGCACTTTGAGAAAAGCTGCCCCAATCTCACTTCACTGTCACTTATAGGTTTTCACATAACAGACGACGAAGCCTACAAGTTATTAATGGTATGGCTCTTTTGGTTTCCTGGTGTTTCTTCTATTCTCATTTTTTTTTGGGTGCTATATATATAAATGTTTTTGTAAAACATTGAGATGTTTTCTATTTGATTTTTTTCCAGGGTTTGCATAAACTTAAGTACATTGACTTATCCAGAACATCTGGATTTGGAGGATCCTTCTTGAGGTTCATGTTGTCTTAATGATGAAATCCTACTAATTGTTTTTCTGTTTGGAAAATTTCTTATGGTGGGTTTTTTTGTTCTTATGGTAGACGCGTGTGCGATAACATCAAAGATGCTCTGATCGAGACTATAATACTGCGAGATTGCGTCGGGTTAAGGGAGGTAAAGCAATCTAACTTAGTACATATATTCTCTTGTTTTTGCATCAGCATCAGTATTTGTTAGAGAATGGTTTGTCAGTATTTGTTTTTGGATATTCAGAGAATGGTTTGCCAGTTTTTGCATGCGTTACTCTCAGGAGACTTGAGGTTCATGCAACATATTGTAAGTTCTTAAATAGGAGTATACTAGTTTTTTGTAAGAATATCATTGTGACAAATGATTTTGTTTAATTTACTCATGATGTTTTTTCTTCAATATAATAGGATGTTTCAAATTACCATGGATTACTTTGTGGCGAGAGGAGTAATAGAAAACCAAAGTAACATATTTCTTTCTTTTTTTATGTTGTTTACCATTTGATAAAACAGTAATCATAACTCAGGTTAATGACTCACCGGCGGTTTATATGGGTGTGTTGTAGGTTTCCTCTGGAAGAGCTGGAAGTAGAAAGACCTGGTCTTACATTTGTGGCAGATTTTATACCATCACCATATTCATTTTTATCGTCATCTGATGATTCATCATCATCTCATGCATCATCTCATTCATCAACGGATTCATCAGCATGATCAAGTGATTCATCATCAGTAAGGTTTGTTGATTTGTTATTATATATAGCTTTAAACTAAAAATTAATTAGGAATTGAACTTAGGTGAATTTGTTTTGTGAAATTCAGATCACAACTCAAGAGAAGACGACGACGACTTTTGACTTGTGTTCAATGGTCTCTTCTTTCTCTCTTTTTTTATTTCCCTTGGGTTTTTTTGTTTTTTTGGAACAATTATTTCCCTTTGTTGAGGATTCAGTATTTTGCTTCAAATTTTATGCAGTATTTTTCTTTTGGATCATACATTAAACTTATTAAGGATATGGATCCTAAACTTTCCTAGTTAATTTGATTTGATCATTTAGATTTTATGTCTGCTTCAGTTTAAATTCCCATCAGCTACAGGTAAACCATAATCTCCTACACCCTTACGCCATAACAAATAGCTAGTTCGAACAAGCACGGACCTTGTTCGATGAATAGCCTGATCATCACAACTAAATCTACGACACTTTTGCTTATAATTAGGTTTTGTCTTTTATTATCAGACTTGCTTTGCTTATCTGACCTGTCCACTCAGAAGTCAGAACCTATTTTGATGATAGTTTGTTATTTATGTCTTACGTAAGAAAAGATATATAATGTCTAATATATTGTTGTTCAAAAAAAAAAATGTCTAATATATTATTTGAAATTGAATAAATTGTTTCTCTTATTTTCATTCACTATTTGACAATCACTTTGATATCGATATCGACAGTTACGATTTTGACAATAAACATGTTTGTTTGGAAGTTTAATCTCTAACTATTTTTGAAAACCGGAGAAATTCATGTTAGAGCAAGAAGTTTCATGGAGCCAGTCTGAAAAAAAAAGCGCAGCAAGAAGGAACTGAAACAAGAGCGTAAAAACCCTACAATCAAGGGTCACTTTTTGAGGTTCAGGTTTTTCCTTAAACAAAATGTTAAGAGCGCAATTTCCTCCTCAGTATTTCTATTAGCAAAATTTCTTATTGCTTAAACTTTTTTTGATGATAGACATAGTTGCAAAGACAGTTTGCTCAAGACTTTAATATTGCGTGACTGCCTTTTACTAGAGGAGGTAAGCATCAAATAATAATGAATTAAGTATTTGGTGGTTGCATGCATCACCGATCATATAGTCTCGCGCTTACTGACCTTGAAATTTTCCAACTTTCAGAAAGAAGTTTTGCAATTTCTGAATTCGCTATCCACAGGAAACTTCAGATTTATTAGGCACATTGTAAGTTCTTATAGAACTTTTGGCAAATTTTGTGTAGACTCAGAGTTATAATTTGAATTTGTTTATTACTCATATTATTTTTCTTCTTCTTCTATAATAGGACATTACAAATTACCGCGGCTTGTTGTCTGATGGCCGCAAAAGATCTTTCAAACCAAAGTAACTGATAGTTCACTTATTATTTATTTTATTTAGATAATTGTTACCATTTTCCCTAATAATTATGCATGTGTTGTAGGCTTTCCTTGGAGAAGCTGAAAGCAGAAAGATCAGATGTCACATTTGTGGCAGATTTTACTTCACCAATATCAATGTTCCATCTTTATCCCTAACATTTGTTTGTTAGTTTTTTAGGCTTTTTGAAGTAATCATCAAAGTAAGTGAGTTTTTTTTTGTGTGTTTTCAAAATTTTAGATCAGAAAAGATATCTCGTGGCATCATTTCTTCAGGCAGAGATGAGCCGAGGAGCGATGATGATGAAAGAAGAATATTAGGACCAATTGCTGGATATAGGAGGAACGTTCACAGATAGGAACACTCAAGTGATGATCAATGCACAAACTTAGAACTCAATAAGAAGTTAAGAACACAAGATACTTTTTTTCAAAGGGTAGTTATGACGACCTCTTTTGGTTTTCATTGATTTAAATACTCGACTACAACTCCTACAAACTTGGAAGCATAAACTGAATTACGGGAACCGGACTTATAAAAAAAAGGGTTTTAAGGAAGAGCCACCTTTGTATCCGTTCCTTGGTCCAAAATTTAGTTCGAGTTCGAGTGTGTTTATCTTTTACGTTGGATGATTGTTGTTGAGACGGTAAAAGTTTGGTGTTTAGGTGTAAAGTTGAAAAGAGTTACTCTTTCTTCTCCAGCAAGGTCCTTTACGCAGCAGCTTGGTCCGTAAGTAACCTTTTTCTGTTTGTGAAAATTAGTTGTGGTATCACCTTCATCATGTACGTATCAACGGTATGGGCCGTAAGTGTTGTTATTTGTGGTTCTAAAGAAATGGGCCAACGTTTTAAGAGACCCAATTTGGATTTTGAATTGCCAGCTATTGGTGAGGTGGGACCTTGTAAATGGAAAAAAAAAATTTCCTCTGCTAATTTTTTTGTTTGTTTTGGCCTATGAATATCACTTGTCATCATCTCGTAGTCTTTCACAGAGAATCAAGGGCTTCAAAACGACTTCTCTGATAGATTTGGGAAGAAAAGCTGAATCGAGAGAGTTTTCATATTTGGGAAGAAATGTTAGGTGAGCTGGACCTTCTAAATAAAAAATACAACTCTCCTTTTTATATTCACTCATACATTTGCATCTTTTCTTTCATTCTTCCAACGTTGTCTCATCCATCTTTCATGGAGGATGCAAACGAAATCAAGCGACTATGTCGAGTCGCAGTCCAGAGTGTTCCTGATGTCGACCAGAGTCACGTAGATCTGATGGTCTCTACTCTACTCTCGTTGCCTGATTCGCTAGCCACTGAAAGGTCCTTCGACCGAGCCTTTGAAGACTTGCTGGAGTCTTCCGGTGATGAGTCTACTGTCGACCGCGGACTCCAACTCGCTGCCCGTCTCCTCGAGTCCGCTAAAAGGTGCGCTCGGAGACGCGCCACACACCACAACACCATTTCTTGGCCGCTCCCTCATGAACTCACCGTTAAGGTAAACACATCGCGGTTGAAATCATTAATCGATTTTTAGCTTTTCAAATATTTTGCCTCAGTTATGCTGGAATTTTGTGATGTGTCATTGACGGCGCTTGCTTTTTTTTTTTTCTTGTAGAACGTTGGATTTTAAAGTTAAATTGTTTTAACCCACTGTTGACCAAAAAAAAATGTTTTTTTAACCCTTGATTTATCACAATTAAGCTGGAATTTGTTGAGGATTCACTAAATCATGTTAAACGAGTCAACGGGGTTTAGGGACCTATTCATGTGTATTAACAAAAAACCAGTTTGTTTTCCAATCATAAAGATCACTTACAGTATGGCAATGAATCATGAGAAAGATGTAATTTGTGAGGAAAATGTTAGGTGGCTTTGATTTATTAAATGTGATTTGTTAGATTGAAAAAAAAATAACGAAAATATCAAATTCTTAATAAATTATCTTACAGTATACAAAATCACACATGTATTGAATGATGTCCCATAGATGTAATCAATTTTTTGCTCTCTTGAATTAATGTGTTTGAAATTGATTATTCAGATCTTTGGGTTGGTGGATACCAAATCGTTGGTCCAGGCGTCGGCTTCTTGCACCATGTTTAAGAGAAGTTCGATGGATCCGATTTGTTACGGGGACATAGACTTGACCAACGCAAATGTTAAAAGTGTAGTTGTGCGTGGTATGATCTTTAGAGCTGGAAAGGAACTCAGGTGAGATGTTGTGTACTCTTACTCTTAGTGTCCCTTCCTTTCTTCTTGATGCAAGTGAGCTTCTCCTATTTCTTGATTTTCTATTTAATTACTATCTCTATGGGTTTTGCTGCATGCAGTTCCCTTAAAGTTGGTTGCGCAGATGAGTCAACCAAATCTCTGCTTACAAGATCTTCTCTCGACCCACTGTCTTACGAACATGGTTTAGCTGGGTATTTACTTTATACCTTCTATATATACGTAAAAAGTTGGTTCTACTGGTTTTTGTGGTGCTTCTAAATTCTAATTTGGTTTATTTACTTATTTTCAACAAGGAATCTCTTGGAGAGCCTACACATTTACAATCACAACGGAAAGCTGAAGAGAAAGTCCATATGTGGTGCATTGTTAGTCTGCTCAAATCTGACTGATTTGAAGATTGTTGGATTGTAAGTTACTAAGTTCCTTACCTATTGTTTTACCATATTCCTTGAATTGTCCATTCCCATAATCTGGTTTTCATCATCTATGCTTTCCATTATCTGTTCAATTTGTTGCTTTTATGTCTGTAGATATTAGAATCTACCTAGATCTTGTACCGTTTTGATAAGATCCATGAGTTAATTCACCAGAAAACTACATCATATAGAGACTTTGGTAAAGAAGAGAATTTCAGTTATTATCCTAATTAAAACCCTAGAAAACCAGAACGCCTAAACCCTAAAAGTGTATTTCTGGACTAACAAGAAAGCTTTTGATACTTTTTCTCACTTCCTATACAATATTTGTGTTTCAAATGACAGGGATATCCATACAGTAAGTGATGTAGCCGGTTTGCTCACAGTCAAATGTGAGCATCTGTTCTTACAGAACGAGAATTCTGGTAATGTTTTTCCATTGTAATGCTTAATTAATTTTCTTTTGTTTGTCCTCCCATGCATGTTTGCTTACGCTGACCGTTATGTGTGACAGCTGTATGGAGCCATTTAACTGGTTCGCACTTTGAGAAAAGCTGCCCCAATCTCACTTCACTGTCACTTATAGGTTTTCACATAACAGACGACGCACTCTACATGTTATTAATGGTATGGCTCTTTTGGTTTCCTGGTGTTTCTTCTGTTCTCATTTTTTTTTGGTGCTATATATAAATGCTTTTGTAAAACATTGGGATGCTTTCTATTTGTTTTTTTCCAGGGTTTGCATAAACTTAAGTACATTGACTTATCCAGAACATCTGGATTTGGAGGATCCTTTTTGAGGTTCATGTTGTCTTAATGATGAAATCCTACTAATTGTTTTTCTGTGAGCAAATTTCTTATGGTGTGTTTTTTATTCTTATGATAGACGCGTGTGCGATAACTTCAAAGATGCTCTGATCGAGACTGTAATACTGCGAGATTGCGTCGGGTTAAGGGAGGTAAAGCAATCTAATTAACTTAGTACATACACTCTCTTGTTGTTGCATCAGCATCAGTATTAATATATGTCACAATCTTGACCCTTTGAATCTCGGATATTCAGAGAATGGTTTGCCGGTTTTTGCATTCGTTACTCTCAGGAGACTTGAGGTTCATGCAATATATTGTAAGTTACGTTCTTAAATATGACAATACTAGTTTTTTTTGTAAGAATATGATTGTGACAGGTTATTTTTGTTTAATTTACTCATGATTTTTTTTCTTCGATGAAATAGGATGTTTCAAATTACCATGGATTACTAAGTGGCGAGATGAGGAGAAATAGAAAACCAAAGTAACAGATTTTTTTTTTTATTGTATTGTTTACCATTTGATTAATCAGTAATCATAACTCAGGTTAATGACTCACCGGTTTAAATGGGATGTGTTGTAGGTTTCCTCTGGAAGAGCTGGAAGTAGAAAGACCTGGTCTTACATTTGTGGGAGATTTTACACCATCACCATATTCATTGGTATCGTCATCTGATTCATCAACATCTTCTGATTCATCCTCATCATCTTATTCAACGGATTCATCAGCATGATCAACTGATTCATCATCAGTAAGGTTGGTTAATTTGTTATTATATATAGCTTTATTAATTAGGAATTGAACTTAGGTGATTTTTTTTTTTGTGAAATTCAGATCACAACTCAAGAGAAGACGACGACAACGACTTTTGACTTGTGTTCAATGGTCTTCTTTCTCTCTTTTTTTATTTCCCTTTGGTTTTTTTTTTTTTTGAACAATTATTTCCCTTTGTTGAGGAAAATTTTAGTCAGTATTTTGCTTCAAATTTTATGCAGTATTTTTCTTTTGGATCATACATTAAACTTATTAAGGATATGGATCCTAAACTTTCCTGGTTAATTTGATTTGATCATTTAGATTTTATGTCTGCTTCAGTTTAAATTCCCATCAGCTACATGCAGGTAAACCATAATCTCCTACACCCTTACGCCATAACAAATGGCTAGTTCGAACAAGCACGGACCTTGTTCGATGAATAGCCTGAAAATCACAACTAAAACTACGACACTTCTGCTTATAATTAGGTTTTGTCTTTTATTATCAGACTTGCTTTGCTAATTGCTATCTACCTGTCGTCCACTCAGAACCTATTTTGATGATAGTTTGTTATATGTGTCTTACGTAAGACAAGATATATAATATCTTGTATCTTATTTGAAATTGAATAAATTGTTTCTCTTATTTTCATAATCACTTTGATATCGATATATATCGACAGTTACGATTTCGACAATAAACATGTTTGTTTGGAATATTTAGTCTCTAACTATTTTTGACAACCGGAGAATTGATCATGTTAGAGCGCAGCAAGAAGGAACTGAAACAAGAGCGTTTCAAGTCAAGTTTCTTCAAAGGCACGTTACCTGCAAAGTCAAAAAGGAATTCATCATTCACGGTATTAAGATTAAAAATGCTAATTTTATGATGTCCGAAGAGCAGAATTCAAATATTCCACGTAATTAACACACAAAGATAGCCCTATGCCATTGATAGATGGAGTTTTAAGTTTTTGTAGTGTTTAGAAAAACTTGACTAAAAAGCTATCTTTAATGTTTTTAGTCTAAAGTAAAACTTGACTAAGAAGCTATCTTAGTGCCGAATAAAACCCTTGCGAGTATATTCTTAAGGAATTTTTAAAGTAGGATACAAAAACAATAGATTTTTTTCTTTCTTCCTGGTGACAAAGTGAGAATCGATCCCATTCCCTTTTGACTTAAAGCAAGTCCCGTGTCATCATGGATCCTCCAAACCCAAACCGACTTTGCCATGACGTTTATTCCACAATCCAAAACCCTAATTCCCTTCCCAGTGCTCCAGGTTTCGATTTGATATTCCATTTGTTACTGTCGTTTCCGGACTCATCCTCGCCTTCGTTTGACTCGCCGTCCTCCATTGATCAATTGCTCGACAAAGCTCTCGCCTCCGCTTCCTCCGATGACTTGGTTCAGAATAGCATCATCGATCGTACCATCAAACTCCAGTTGCTTCTTCTCGAGTCCACTAGACGGTGCTTCCGCAAGCGAGCTTCACTTCACAATTCCAATTCTTGGTTACTTCCTCCAGAAATCACTATCAAGGTTTAATTCTTGGGGTGATCTTTTAGGGATTTGGTTCTCTGGAATTATATGTATCCGACCTGATTTCACTATTCGTATATAAGCAAATTGAGAATTATCAAATTATGCATAAATGTTTCTGAAACTGAGCAACGTTTTTGTGTGTGTGTTATTGAATCCCCATTGTTAATGAAATTTCAGGTGTTTTCGAAGCTTGATACAAAGTCTCTAGTGCAAGCCATGTCATGCTGCACCATGTTCCAAAAATGTGCCATGGACCCTTTCTCTTACTCTCACATCAACTTGACTACTACCTCTGTCAGCAAAGTTGATGATGAAGTTGTGCGTACCATGATCTGTCGGGCTGGAAAAGAACTCAGGTAATATATTGTGTATTCAAGAAACCATTTAGTTAAGTTATATAACCTAACTAGAATCCAAAGAATTTTGAGAAATTTTAAATAGCAGATTCTCCTTGTTTGCTGCAACTTGGTTAGCTAATGTAATTATATCTCATGGGGTTTTTTTTTTATGCATGCATGCAGATCCCTTGAACTTGGTCATGTTGTTCCCCCATATAATGATGTCTCTACTACGCCTTTGCTTACCGGAAAATGTCTTGCCCCGCTACCCGATAATGATGGGTTTATCGGGTATTGTCTTGAATTATTGATATGAACTTTTAGATATTAACTTGCTTCATTTATCTTTCTTCCAGTCTAAATCTATTTTGATGGTAGTTATAATTAAGTTCAGCTAGAGATTATAACACATCCTTACCTTGTCCTTGGATTAATCATCTAATTTTGGTGTCATCTCTTTTCCCATTCAACTAGGAAATACTTGAGAAGCATCCACCTTTACAATGTCAGATATTTGAGAGACCATCTCTATAATAATGCGTTGTCAGCTTGTTCAAATATCACTGATTTGAAGATTGTTGGATCGTAAGTTGTCTTTGTATTTCGTATCTCTAAGTCATCTTTCTATGCATTTTATAATTTTTATTGCTTCTCGGTGTCTTATTCCTTTTATTCAACACTCTCTCACGTTTTACGGTATTTTAATTTGTGTTTAATGTGATAGTTATGTCTCACCGGAGAAGCTACTTGAGTCACTGACAGCAAAACGCTGTTTCATAGAGCACCTATTCTTGGAGACCTATAGAAGTTACTCTAGTAAATCTTGTTTTTTCCCCACTTTTGAAGCTTTCCTTTTTGTTTACTCAAGCTTATATATAGCTATTGTGTAACAGGTAGATTAAGATTTAAAGAATCATCATCAGGCTTAGCAGATATCGTCACAAACATCCCAAACTTAACCTCGTTAACACTCATAGGTTTTAGACTAAATGATGCAACGGCCCAAATTCTTGTTGAGGTTCTGTTTTCTGTCTATTCTTCTTTCTTCTTTCTTCATTTGGTACCATCTTTGATTTTACTAAGCACAATTTTTATTTTTATTTGCTTTTGCAGAGTGCACGTAAACTCAAGTACATGAATCTCTCTAGAAATCGTGTAATCAAGGGTCACTTTTTGAGGTTCAGGTTTCCCTCAACCAAATGTTAATAGCGCTGAGTATTTCTGTTAGCAAATTTTCTCATGACTGAAACTTCTTTGATGGTAGTGGTTCGGGAGATAGCTGCAAAGACAGTCTGCTCGAGACTCTAATATTGCGTGACTGCGATTCTCTAGAGGAGGTAAGAATCAAACCATAACAAGATTTTGGTGGTTGCATATGATCTCACACTTACTGACTATGAAATTGTCAACTTTCAGAAAGAAGTTTTGCAGTTTCTGAATTCGCTATCCACAGGAAACTTCAGATCCATGAGGCACATTGTAAGCTCGTATAGAAGTTAATTTTGGTAAATTTTGTGTTGAATGAAAGGTATTTATTGTTTACTACTAATATATACTGTAATATTCTTCTTCATAGGACGTTTCAAATAAATACGGCGGCGTGTTGTCGGATGGGGGAATAAGATCCTACAAACCAAAGTAACTGATTGATTGTTCACTTCTGTTTTATTTTATTTAGATTGTTATCATTTTATTTAAATGTGATTAATTACAACGTAATTATATGCATGTGTTGTAGTTTTCCTCTGGAGAAGCTGAAAGAAGAAAGATCGGATGTTACATTTGTTGCAGATTTTGGTGCGATCAATGGGATATACTCAAATGGAATTTGAAGGAGATAACCAGCTAGTCAATCAGATAATTGTAGGTAAAACAACAAATCTAAAGTAGCACTATGTATCGACGACTATCAAAGGCTGGACTCATATCTTCCAAGATATCGAATTCAGTCACCGAAACTCGAGAAGCAAATTAATGTGCTGACGCTTTGGCTAAGAAAGCTATTTAAGGAGATTTTCATTAGGCAGAGAATATCAAAATACATTATTCTGTTAAAACGGTTAACAATTTTATGTTTGGTTTAACCGTTGCAAATGAAAATCATAAACAAGCCACAAAAATATCTGTTATACCTAAAGCTCGTGTGATTCAATTTCATGAAGACTTCGGTTTGCAGTCTGATTGAAACTTAGAGAGCTGGTTATGGCCGGTTAAATTGAAGCGGTTTGCGGAGACGAAACGGTGCGTTTTGAGGAAGACAAGAGCTAATGAGAAGCCTCTGATCGAAACAGAGTCTTTCTCCTGTTTGGCTATAAATACTCTTTCTCGTCTTCTTCTTAGCGTGTGAGAGACGAACATTTGAGAGCTTGTATCGAGTTGTTGCTCTGTGTTCTTGAGCTGTACTCTTCTCCATGACTGATCCGGCCCCAGACGTTGTTGTTGAGTCTTGTTTTAGTCTTTGCACGTTTAGCAATAAGAGACGTGGTCTCATAGGTTAATGAGTCAATCTCTGTTCCCGTTTGAATAGGTCTTAGTGGAGCTAGTTGAGCTCGTGTCCGTTATTTCCGTATTCAGTTATTTGCTTCTGTTGTAAACCTTATAAAAGGCATTGGATCTCTATTGAATACAGGTAGATCATTCGGTGCATTTGTGTTCTCTGAAACTGCAATTACAGACGTAGGTTTTACTATCACACCGATAGGCCAAAATGGGTTAAAAAAGCTTTGTGTGTTCCCTTTTACTTTCTTGCTCTGTTTCTATTCATCTTTGTTCTTAAACAAACGAGTGACCCACTCGTAGAGAGAGCATGTGAGGTATAGATCTTGTGTTCGTAGTGGTGTTTCGTGACCCAATCGACCCGATCTGCAACAATATCCAAAAGAAACGCAAAGAAGATTCACATTTACGAATAAATGAAAAAGTAAACCCGGAGATTTGGAGGCGGGGCGATTTATAGATAATATACTCTCGGCAAAACGCCTGAGAAATCTCTTTAACGTTCGATTTGGTTTGATGGATTCTCCGGCGAACCCCACCGGAATCCCTAGTTCCGTCTCTACTGTTCCCGGCTTGAACCAGAGCCACGCCGATTCGATCATCTCCTCGCTCCTTTCGTTCCCGGACTCCTCCCCGATCTCCATTTCCAGTACCTTCGATCGAGTCCTCGACGATGCTCTCGCCTCCGCTTCCGGCGATGTCTCCGTTCAGGATTCTCTCGTGGATCGCACTCTGAACTCGCGTCGCTTCTTCTAGACTCCACTAAACGATGCTTCCGGAAGCGAGCTTCTCTCCACAATTCCAATTCCTGGTTCCTCCCTCCCGAACTCACCATTAAGGTAACAAAATCGGGAATTTCTCATTCTTCATCTGCGTTGTTGAATCCATTTGTGACGATCTACGAGATTGATTTTCTCGATTTTCTCAGGTGTTTTCGATGCTTGATACAAAGTCTCTGATGCAAGCGGCTGCGTGCTGCACAATGTTCAACAACTGTGCGATGGACCGTTTATCTTACGCCCACATCGACTTGACAACCGCTACAAAGCAAACTGACAATGGAGTTGTGAATACTATGATCCACCGGGCTGGAAAAGAACTCAGGTGAGGCTTTGTTTATGAGATGGAATCATTACTCATTCATATATGTAATGTAATTGAACTTGGCCTATATGTAATCATTTTTTCATGGCTTTGTTTATGCATGTAGAACTATCAAGCTTGGAAGTGTTACTCGCTCAACTGGATCTGATTCTTCTCCAACTTTGGTTCCAGGGCCTCTTCTTGCCCCACTATCCTATAATCATGGTTTTCTTGGGTATTGCCAATTTGAAATCTCCTCATCAAACTTGTTCTTTGTATCTGACTTGTCTAGTCTAAACCTATTTAGTGGAGCTAAAGTTGAAAAACGAACATGTTGAAGATATGGTTTCGTTAGATAGGAAAGAACTAGAACAGGAAAAAGATCCCAATACAATCTGATCATGCCCTCTTATCCCCGGAACTCGTTTGTTTTATGGATAATGCATTTGACTCTTGGAGCAGTAATATCTTGAAATCTTGTCAAATACCTCCGATTGTGCATTTGAAAGTGATTCAGAGAATGGTTTTTTTAGCTCAAGTAATTGTCGCTCTATCAACATGTGCAGTTAATTTTCTAATCTGGTATCATCTTTCTCCATTCAACTAGGAGTCGCTTGAGAAGCCTGCAGCTTTACAATCTTAGACAAGGGAACTACAATTCCGTGACTGAGGTGTTGTCAGTTTGTCCAAATATCATTGATCTGAGGATTGTTGGATTGTAAGTTATCTTGGGATCCAGAATTTCTCCATTTCCTTTTTTTTGCTTTTTCTTTGTATGGAGGTGTATCATATTGTCATCTTCTGTTCTCTAAATTCTTTTGCTATCTTTTTATGTCTGTGGACTGTACATTCTGCTAATTCCTTATGCAAATTTCCTCACTTTTTGCATTATTCCGTATTTCATGTGACAGGTGTTCTCCATATATGCCGCTATTGAAGTCTTTTGCAGAAAAATGTCGTTTGATAGAGCACATTTGCTTAGAGACCTATGGATTGCCAGGTAAAGCTTTTCCACTGTGAAGCTTCTTGTTTACTTTACTCCCAGGTTTCGTCAAGCTTACCTAGTTTGCCACACAGGTGCAGTAGACTTTAAAACAGGGTCACCCTTGTTAGAGTTTGTGACGAACTCCCCCAAGTTAACTTCCTTAACGCTCATAGGTTTTAGACTAACCGAAGAAATGGCCCGAAAGCTTGTTGAGGTATGGCTTCTATTCGATAGTTTTCTGGTATTTCTTTCTCTCTTCCTTTTGGTACCATCAAAATATTCGGTTGTTATTTGCAGAGTTGTCGTAAGCTGAAGTACCTGAATTTGTCTAGATCGCCAACAATCAAGGGTCGTTTTCTGAGGTGCAAAAACAAAATGTGAATAGCGCAATTTCTTCCAATATTATTTATTAGCCAAATTTCTCACAGCAAGAAAATGTTTGTTGGTAGGGATTTGGGATATAGCTGCAAAGACAGTCCACTGGAGACTATAATATTGCGGAACTGCCATTGCCTACAAGAGGTAAAAAGAGTAAGCATAACAAGTCTTTGGTTGTTCCATCAATCTTGGTTTCACAATCACTGACCTCCCTCGATATTGCAGAAAGAAGTCTTGGAACTCTGTAACTCAATACTCAAAGGAAACTTCAAATCCATTCGGCACATTGTAAGTTTTTAAAGAATTTATGTCAAATTCTGTGGATGTAAGGTTCACTCATAATGGTCGTCTTCTTATTCTTTTTGGTCTACTCTAATAGGATGTTTCAAATAACCGCGGCTTAGATATTGATTTCGGCGACAGATCTTACAAACCAAAGTAAACCATTGATCCTTCATTGTTTAACATTTTACCAATTAGAAATCACAACTTGGTTCGTATAATACTAATGACTCACTGAGTTTCCTTGTGTTGTAGGTTTCCTCTAGAGAAGCTGAAAGAAGAAAGACCAGATGTCACATTTGTAGCGGATTTTCCATTAAAAGGGTATCTTTCAGTTTCATTCATTAATATTTTAGGATTGAAAGTAATCAAGTTTGTATATTTTTATCTGTGTTAAAATTCAGGTCAGAAAAGCGTTACCGTATGTGCGCTGGTTTGGATGAAGAAGAGTTGAGGTTGATAGAGATGATGGAAGCCGAGAACGAAGATGAGTCTGAAGACGATGACGATTCATACGATGAGGTTGACTCGGACGAGGAGATCCTTTTATAATTGGAATTTTTCTTTAAAGATTAGTAGATTAGTAGCTTGCTTTAAGCATTGGTGTTTTTTAACTACAAATGCTCAACAATTCCTGGTTTGTCTGTTCTATCAAATTATGTCAAAAGAAAGCAACAAATCCTTAAAATCACTCCTTCCTGTTTGGATACATATATATCTATACTCATTCACGTTCTAAAGGATTTCTCAAGCATCTTGTTTCCAAATCCTGATAGTTTTATCTAAATGATTCCCCGACGAAGCTATCTCGTTCTGAACAGGATGGCAAGTCACAGAGATCACTGCGTCTGTGTGGCCTTCAAGTCTCTGCAGTATAGTTTTGTGCTGAAGATCCCAAAGGTACACACAATTGTCTTCTGATCCACTCACAATGTACTTCCCATTCGTCACAGAAAACGCCGATGTGATACAGAACACTTTGTTCGTATGCCCTGTGTACACTTTCAGAAACTTCCCCGTCGCATAGTTCGACAGCTTCTGTATATGGTTTTGTATCCAAAATCAAAAGATGCAAAATCATTAGTAAAGAGACCAGTTTCTACACTCTTCAATTCAATATAAAGAATTTGTGAACTTACGAGAGTGCTATCAAGAGTGGCAACGAGGATGAATTTGCCATTAGGAGAGAATTTGGCGAAAGAGACAGCTGGAGACTTGTCATCAATCAGAGTCTTCAAGCAAGTTCCTTCTTTAGCATCCCAGATTTTGCAAGAACCATCATGACTTCCCGAGACAATCAACGATCCGTCGCGATTGAAATGCACGCTCGAAACCGGCATCGAGTGAGCTTTAATCACGCGGACGCATTTCCCGGTTTTCACCTCCCAGATCCGGATCGTCTCATCGAACGATCCGGAAACTATGAGATTCGACGGAGGATTGAAATTCACGCAGAAGACGAAGTTCGTGTGGCCTCTAAGCACCTTGAGGCACTCGTACGGAGCTCGAGCGTCCCAGATTCGAAGCGTGCAGTCATCGGAAGCGGAGCAAGTGTAGTGCGAATCAGAGGACCAGGCTAGATCGGAGATACCTTGAGCGTGACCTTCGTATCGATGAATCAGAGAGTAATTCGTCGCCGACCATAGGATCATGGTCTTGTCGACGGAAGCGGAAGCGAGAAGATTGCCGTCGTTGGAGAATTTGACGCAGGAGATCGCCGCCGTGTGTCCTTCTAGGGTTTTCAGGTGACGGTAAGGTTTGAAAACCGGAACATTTCCGCTTGTTCCTGCGTTGCCGGCGGAACTTGAGTTAACGGCACCGTTGCTGGCTCCGTTACCTCCGCTTGGCATCGCCGTCCGTCGTCGGATTAAGCAATCTTCGTTCTAGTGGAGAGAATCGGGGAAATAATGTTCTTGTGCTACCAAATATATACACACATATACATACAACGTGCGGTTGTTTAATTACAATATTACCATTTTCCCTCTCGGTTCGGTTTGGATCTGGACCGAACCAGTAATGATTCAGTGATTCACTACGAATGATTTACTCGGTTTGATTTTGGTTTGGCTAATCTCGGTTCAATTCGATTATATGCCCATTCCATAGGATCGTTGAAATTCAAGAGCTTTGTATCATCCAACATCTGGGAATGAGATTGAGATACACTGAAACCTGGATGTTATTACAGACACAACCACAAAGGAACGACACATATGCGACAAACAATACGAATGTTATTTCGAACATTGAGGTGATTCTATAAACTCTTGTTTTTGCCGTATGTATCTTCGAAACCATCAGCTACTCTTTTCCTTCTTTCAGCAATCATTTCTGAATACGACTGAAAACCCAAACAACATAAAACCATCAGACTTTTTTTTTAAACAAGACCAAGATTTGGGCTTTGTCTGAAGATGACAAGAAACCAGCATTGTCTGAAGATGTTAGAACAAGTAGTATAACTTGGGCATAGTAATTAAAAGCTACAAACTTTTTATTCAGATTCATTGCCTGTGATGAAGAAAAAAAAGATCATACCTTTGGGTAGCTATAGAGGAAAATGTACCACCAAGCGGCAATTAAACCAACGGCAAGCGATGAAACTAGAACCGAATGTAGTATTAACCAGCTACATGCCACTATTGATAGACCCGTTAGCATTATCGTCCATGGCTGACACCTGAGAGACATAACATAAAATTAGATGTTTTACTTGTTGATTCCCTTCAGAACTATACGCCTGAAATGTCTTATGAGGAGCCCAAAACTTCATGATTTCAAATACAATACAGATCATAGATTTGGTATTATAAAAAAAAATCGTCTCTTTTTTTCTGGACAAAGATTCAAACTTTGAGTTTGTATATTTCGATCGTTTAAGAGAGAGTGAAGAACCAAAACACTAAACTGTACTTGTCCTAGTAGCACTCAGTAGCAGGAATCGATAATCTAAGTTTGGTCCGATCAAAAAGCATAAATCACTGAAATTGATGATAAAATTAAGGATTGGTAAGTGAATTTTGACTCTTATAAACAAATTCTGTGAATATTCAGAGTCTTCAGACAAAATCCAAACCTAAGAACATTAACACAAATTAGACTGGACAAAACTTCATTTTGGAACTTAGTTGAGATTTACCAGGAGGGCTTCGTGTCCCAGACGGAATCATATTCGAGAGAGAGGTTGTCTAAGAAACCTTCCATGTCATCAATCGCGCCATTTTCATCTACGAATCTCGAATCCTTCCGATTGCCACCCAAACCTCTAACTTTCGTGCTAATCCTTGTCGATTTGAGATTGAGTGAGCGGAGATTCGTTCGGAAACTGAGTTTTGTAAGGCGGGTCTGAGTCTGAGGCCGAAACGGCGTCAGAGCCACGACGGAGATGGAAAGACTTGTCATCTGAAGAAGACGATAAGGATAGAGGACTCAATTGACTCTAATTCAAATTTTGGGGCGCTTTGTATAAAAACAAAATTTCCTTGGTGGTTATAATGATTAATGAATAATAAAAAGAACGTTCGATTGGTTTATTTGGGCTTGGCCAAACTAATGGCCCAATAAGAAAACAGTCATATAATCGACTCAAAGCCCTAATTCTTCAATCGTCTGATAAGATTTTTGTTATCTTCGTCGTTGTCGGAGTGAGAATTGGGGATCGAGAATGACGACGATGAACTCGCTTCCGAGGAGGTTTGGGAAGAATCAAGGCTATTTGGATCGAGATCGAGATCGAAGCTATCATCGGAACGGGAGGAGATCTGATTCAGAATCCGATGAAGAGCTAAAAGGATTGAGCCACGAGGAGTACAGGAGGCATAAACGGCTTAAGATGAGGAAGTCGGCGAAGTTTTGCTTCTGGGAGAACACGCCGAGTCCGCCTAGAGACCCGAACGCGGATTCCGACGAGAACGCCGACGAGGTTCTGGAGAAGGATGAGAATCCGAAAGGGAAAGGTAAATCGGAGTCTGGATCTGATTCTGGGAAGTCGGAATCTGAATCTGATGATTTGAGATCGAGGAAGAGAAAGAGTAAGAGCTCGAGGAGCAAGCGTAGGCGAAGGAGATCGTATGATAGTGATAGTGAATCTGAAGGGAGTGAGAGTGATTCTGATTCGGAAGAGGAAGATAGGAGACGGAGAAGGAAGAGTAGTAAGAAGAAGAGAAGCAGAAGCAGCCGTAGTAGTAAGAAAAGGAGAGGACATAGGAGAAAGACGAGATACAGTGATTCCGAAGAGAGCAGCGATGAAGAGGAATCTGAGATTAGTGCTTCGTCGTCTGGGGATGAAGATACAAATTCAAAGAGCAAGAGGCGGAAGAAATCTTCAGGTTCTAGCTCCAAACGAAGCAAGGGGAAGAAGACGAAGTCAGAAACGAGAAGCGATGGTTCTGACTCTGATTCGAAGGCGATAGTAGAAGAAACTGTGCAGATTCCCGAACTTGATGAAGAGGAGATGAAGAAGTTCAAAGAGATGATTGAATCGAAGATGAAATCTTCAGCTCCGGAAGACGAGGAGGAAGATGCTGATGTTGGTCCAATGCCATTGCCTAAAGCTGAAGGGCACATTAGTTACGGTGGTGCTCTGCGACCTGGTGAAGGAGACGCTATAGCACAGTATGTGCAGCAAGGGAAACGTATCCCACGTAGAGGAGAAGTGGGTCTTAACGCTGAAGAGATTCAGAAGTTTGAGGATCTTGGTTATGTGATGAGTGGAAGTAGGCATCAGAGGATGAATGCGATTCGTATCAGAAAGGAAAACCAGGTTTACAGTGCTGAAGACAAACGGGCGTTGGCTATGTTTAACTATGAGGAGAAGGCTAAGCGTGAGGCTAAGGTTATGTCTGATTTGTCGAGGCTTGTGCAGCGCCATATGGGAGAAGAGTTGGGGCCTAATCATGACCCGTTTGGTGCTGGAAAGACTGATGGAGCTGATGATTGATTTGCTTTGCTTTGCTCATCTGCTCTACTTGTATTGGTACTCATCTTGATGCTTTTTTTTTTCTTGTAGACTGTTCCTTATTTGCATCATAGTTACTGTTTGTTTGCAACTTAACCGTTAATGAGTTTTATAGTTTATGCGTTAGACTGATATGTATCACATGATTGCGTTTGTGTTTTGAAGATAAAAAAATTCTGACTTTAGGGGTCTGCAACTGTTCTTGTGCATTTGATTTTAGATTTTGTTCGATGATGATAGTAGATTATTGAAGTTTGCAAAGCATTCGCTTAGTTCTAAGATTGTAGAACAATTAGGATATTTGCTTTGTGCCCACCTCTGTCTTCTCCAATGAATCATGCCCTTTTAATAAGCTTTATAGATTCTGCGTAGAGCTGCTACATATCATATGATTGCGATTTTGTGTTAAAGATCAAAGATTCGGACTTTAGGGATTTAAAGCTTGTTTTTATCCATTTGCCTTCAGTTGTGTTCGATGATTAGATTGAATTTTGCAATGCACTGGCTGAGTTTTAAGATGATATAAAAATCAATTAGTATTTTGGATATTTGCTATGTGGCCACTTATTGATTAAACTTAGCAAATGCCGTTACGGTGATGACTTGTTTTTTCTTCCTCATGAACTTTGATCTTATTTATCTGGTTGTTCGTGACTTTATGTTAATGCGACATGAATTGAAGTCTTTGTGGTCATGTCATCATCATGTTTATAAGTGTCACGATTATTATCAGCAGTGTATTTTTGGAATTGAAAAACAAACAAGCTTATTATTAGGCTCTCTATAGTTATGAAGTACAATAATTTCCGAATTTGCAGGCAGAAATAATTGGCTTATTATCTGTAAGGGGGTTTCAATTATAGTTTATGATTCCACTTTTGTGGAACAATGCAGTGTCTCAATCTTTTTCAATCAGTGCAATATCTTCTCAATAGAAGACCCTACTTCCGAGTTCCTGGTCCATAACTAGTTTATTCAAATAAGCATGTAAATGGACACAATGGATGTATAAGAAAACGATGTTTGGCAAATATTACTATTGCTGTTTGATCAAAATCAAGAAACTTATTACACCTCCACCATGGACTTTAAAATGTAAATAAAATTTAATTAATGTCACGTTAAGGTCACTCTTTCCCATGCTCGAATAAGTTGAAAAAGACTGAAATATTCAAAGGATCCTTAAATATGCGTTAATGAATCGTTTAATTAGGCAATGGAGAAGAAGGACAAAATGGTCAATGATTATAATGGAGGGTATTAACGTAATTGCGTCTCAGCAGAATCATGAAGTAACTGTGCCTGCCTACTTAAAGACAACTGCTCTGTTCAGCTTCTCTCTCTCTCTCTCTATTATCCCATTTCTCAGATCCGCAGGATCTTCGTTTCCATGGAGGCTTAAAAACCCTAATAGATATTCTTTTACAGATCACTGATCCGCTACTGGAAGAAGAAATCATCTCTCACCACGTTTTCTCTGTATCTTCAAACGGAAATCGTTTCGTATTCCACTCAGATTTCAATCTTCCCTTCACCATCAAATCAAGGGCCTTTTTCTCTCCAGGTGAATCTCTCTATGGAATCTGTCACTTTTGCTCCTTTCACAGGATCTGATGCTCTAATATCTCTTGTGATTTCGATTTGTGTCTCTATTCATGTGATGATTTACAAAATGGTTTGTTTCAGCTTCCGAGACGAGCTTGGTTATCGGATTCTGTGATCTTCAGAGACACTTTTCTGGGTAAATAACAAAGCTTTCGCCTTCGGATCGAGCTTCGGTTTAGATTTTGATCAGATAAAGCAAGTGTTCTTGGTGTGATCTCTAGCTCAGAAATGGAAACGCTTATTGTAGCAGCAGAACATAGGAATCAGTATTACGGGAAGAGATCTCTAGCTCATGATCGATTTAGGTCAGCTCCTTCAAAGACTTTCAGGCAAATCAATTGCAGAACTTTTCAATCTGGAGTTGGTTTGCTTCCAAGGCCAAAGAGAACATCTTCATCACCGTTAACCAAAGGAGCTCTTCCTCAGGCTCAGGCTCAGTCTCAGTCTCCTCGTTCTCCGAAGTCCGTTTTGCCGGTCTTTAACCTTCCATCGAGTCCTATTCCAATTGGTAGCGGCAAGAGCTCTCAGATCCGTAGGTGTGCTAGTGAGTTTGTTGACAAAAGGAGAAGCCTTTCTTACTCTGAGCTATGGGCAGGTCCTACTTACTCCAACTCGCCTCCAGCTACCTCTGTGCCGATTCCTAAGTTTTCCCTCAAGCAGAAGAGGACGATTTCACTGAGCTTTCCAGCTCCTGAATCTGGTGATGATGATATTCGTGGAGTTGCAAAGTCTGCGCCGGTTTCTCCGACTTCATCTGGTCCTGATGATAACCCTTTTCATTGTACTGTATCTGCCACTTTGACTCTGCGGCGCATGCTCAATCTTGAGACTGCTGAAGAATGAAGGTTCCAGGAGGAGACTTTAGGGGAACGGGGGTTAGTGTTTAGGTTTTATGCACATAGAAATAAGGTGTTTAGTCACCAAGGTGGTTTGAGTTTGCTTTATTAGCTTCTAATGGTGATGGTGAAGGAACACGGAAGCAGTCTTGACTCAGAGTTGGTTAGCAGTTACTGGGGTGTTATGAATGGTGGAGCAGCTTGATTATAGTGAGTAGAAACTTTGAGGAAGCAGATTAAAAGAGAGAGACTTGATTCTTGGTTTAGCATGTAGGATAACGAAACAGTTACCAGTCTCTAACGTATACCCTGGGTGGATGCTAAGTTCATGTGGCGATGCTTAGACATTTAGCATTTCCTCTTTGCCCTTTGTATAGTTTCTCTTTAGAGTCGTCTTTTTCTTCCTTTGGGTTTTCTCTTCTTAAGTGGGTTAGCTAACCTGTACATGCAGTAGAGCCTGTCTTCTCGGGGTCTTAGTCTTAACCTTTGTCATGTATTTCCCTCTCTGTCCATATCTTTTCTTTTAAGCCTTTTGTTTTCTCTCTTTTCGTGTCTCAAGTCTTCTCTTCCTTCTCCTCAAGTCTCATTCATCTCTGTCCAGTCTTAAAGATGTAAATCTTAGTGGTCTTCCTCTTCAGCTCTTTTCCTGATTTTTTTGTAAAGGGAAAAAGGGAATAGGAAGTTCTTGTGACCCCTCTTAGACTATATCTCTATTGGTAGTATTCATCCAGATGAAAGCCAATACTTCTTCAGGTTCTTCTTGATAACCGGTCTCACTTAAAACGCTATTAAGCTTCCTTGGAGTTTCGTGATTCTGCCTAATCTGCTCACCAGGTAAATTTTGCAGCTCTCTCTAACTCTCTCCCACTATGTGAATTATCTGAATGTGTAGCTTTATACAAACTTTTGATTGCTTTGTAACAGGGACCTATAGAAGCTGCTGCTCTGCTCTGCTTCTGATGATGCTTCTTAGTTGCTTTGTCTCTCCTATCTTTGGGATGTTTCGTTACGCAGTGATGAGTATTGTCTGTGTGTGGAACTGTTGTCTGTTGCTTCCACGGACGTTTGCTTCTTCTTGGCTTTTGTAGTTTGTGAAGTGTTGTAGACGTTTTGCTTATCTCGTTTTGAGTTTTAATGTTGAAGGTTGTGTATCCCATGCTCCCTAATCCCCTATATGGCTATATATAATTTATTTATAATTCTCTATTGCGTACTGAGATTTGGTGAATGTACTTGTATATAGATTTGAGGATCAGGTATTCAGGTGTATGTAACACCATATCTGAAACTCAAACGGGCACGTACACATAAATTGGTTGAATTTTATTAAATTATTAAAATTAGTATTTGTTCATTACAGAAACACTTTGGAATTTATCCCTTTTTGCTGGAGAGTGCGATTTAGTCGCTCTTGAGTAGCGCGCGTGAGATAGTTTTCTAACAATTTGCAGCCGAGACTTGAGCGAAAACGGCCCATTGGACTTCCGTCCTTAATTAAGTGGGCTTTTGCTTGACGTCGTATTACGTGCTACTAAGTGAAAGCGATTTTCCTCTTTTTTTTCTCTCTAAATGTTATAAAGACAAAAATTTCATTCCTCACTTTAATTATGGTGGGTAGGCTAAAGTAGTATTAGAGACAATTTTAAGAAAGAGAAATGTAAAAGAAATAGACGTCTGGGACTGGGACCAAGTAGATTGGTTGTTGAACATGATTGTCATTTTTGAGAGTTGTAAATGTTTGGTTTCCGAGTTCTCATGATGGTTCATTAGTACTATTGGGCCCGACCACAACAAGAAAGGAAACTTTAGCGGCATTTTGTTCGTTACTGTAATATTTTTTTGTTAAAGGTTGTAGCAAGTAACACTATGTATGGATACCGACAAGCTGGTAATCTAAACGCACCTTTTTTCTTTTAATTTCATACTTAGTTTTATATCAACCAGGCTCTATATGTTTTGGATAATATACTCAAAAGTCAAATCGTACAATAAGATTATCATAACGGTTAATTTCAAAAGCTAAGAGATTCGTTTATAGGTAATACTACTTCTCTTTAATTATAATCCATACCTTGTCACTTGTGCAAATTTTCTCTCTTTTTTTGAAAAAATAAATCGAGCTTAGTTGATAACATGCAATGGATTAGCATACACGTGATCAAAGGCTTCACAACTAATTTAAATTCAGGTACATGATTACCATAATTATTATACTTTGTCAAATCTTTAAACAGATACCATGAAAAGTGTTAGGTCTAAGTAAGCAGAAGAAAATTTATGTTTTTCTGATAAAAAAAATATTTATGGTTATTAACCTTTTTTCTATGTGGAAATTATTAGAGATCCCTCTTATGATCTTTATATTATTAATTGAGAAGTACATTCTAATGTTTGGATACAAGAATTAGAGAAACATCTATTTGGATAGAAGAATAAATGGAAACAAAAGTTGTTTGGATATAAGAATAAGAGAAAAATCTATTTGGATAGAAGAATAAATGGAAAAAATTGTTTGGATACAAGAATAATAACTTAAAATAAACCGATGGTTTAGAAAACTTCCGTTTTCCATCTCTTAAAAATCTGCAAAAAAGAAAACTTAACATAATCTAACGATAATTCCAAATCAATAGAATATGCTTTTTGGATTTTCGGGTTTTTATAGACAAGTTCGGGTTTGGGTGAAAATCTGAGACATAATTTTATAGAGATATATATAGAGATATAGAAATTGTTCGGGTTTCTTTGAAAATTTCTGTTCGGGTTAGGTTCAATTTTTTTTTTCAGTTTAGGGTTTTCCGGATTTTTTAGATTTCTGGTTTTCGGGTTTAGATATATTAAAAAAATTGAGTATTTTAAAATTTTGATTAGGTATTGGGGTCGGGTTCCGGGTGAAAAAGTTTCCAGATTTTTTTTGTTCAGTCAGGGTTTTCGGGATTTTTTTTATTTCGGATTTTCATGTTTAGACCTATTAAAAAAGTTTGGGTTTTTAAATTTTTTGATTAGGGTTTTTTGTCGGGTTCGGATTTAGGGTTTAAATTTTCTACACAAAACAACAACGTCACACCGCACAAACGTGCGGGTACTCTACTAGTTAGTAACAATGCAAAAGTCCAATCGTTTTCATCTTAACCTTCTCAAAAGAAATGGAATTTCTTGAGGATAAAGAAAAATCAAGAGAAATATGTCAAGATAGAGGTAAATCTACTTGAAAAATGGAAGAAGATCATTACAAAGAAGAAAATCTCCAATTCAATAAAGACGAAAGATATTCGTCTTAAACCCTCCTCTCACTATATAAACAAGAGTCCCCTCATTCTATAATACCATCTAAAATACCCGTATCGCTGAAAAACCTAGTTACTGTTATAACTAGTTTATATGGAAGCCCATTATCGGCCCATATTCTAGAATGTTCTAGCTTGTTCTCCAAATGTATTCCTCTCCAAGGAAAACCCTATATTGTAATCCTATATAAGGAGCTCATTACTAATGGAATAACACACAACCAATTCATCTCTTCTTTTGTTCTCTCTTCTCACTATAACACGTTATCAGCACGAGTCTCTAACCATTAGGTTAAAACCCTAGCCGTCTGAGTAACCATCAAACGGTAGCCGTCAAAGCAAAACCCTAATCATCATCCTTCGAGATTTTTGATTCTGTCGTAACTCAATATACGACTCCATCCTCTACCTTCATCAAAGATAAGTATTGTATATTATTAGATCAATAGATCAGATCACTAATTGAGATGTCTTTGTGAACTTTAAAATATTGTAATATACATATTCATGGTATACGATATTTTATATGTGTCAGATTCTTTGGCTTGGTGTATGTTCGGTTTGTTGCTGCATAGCCTACGTGTCTCCAATCTCTCTCGTCGTCATTACGGATTGAGCTAAGTACCACTCTAATATCTATTGCATTATCGTTTGGTTTGATTAATAAATTGAAACCAAAACCGTTAAATATTTCTATATTATTTGCTGTGTGATGGAATCTTACTCTTAACCATGCTTATTCAGTCATATGTGTTGAGATATAGTCGCATGATTGATTCTTCTATTGTTTGACTAAAAAGCTGTGCTGTATAATTTGATTTGGTCTGTTTGTTTACTAATGTTTGGCTTGAAAAATCACTGAGTAAGCTTAGTAAATCGTTGGTTGGTTTAGTTCTGTTTCTTTTATATTTCTTGCATTATGCTTAAATACATGATTCTTATAATACTTAAACTATGAGTTAATTATTTTTATAAGGCATGTTTACAAGAACTAAGAATAAACGTTTAAGCATGTAAAGCTATTCTAGTTGCAAATAATGTTTTGTATATGTCTAGAGTATGTATTAGCAATTTTGGTGTCATACTTACACTTTTGCTTGCTATAGTGATATATTGTTAATTTAAGATCCTATGAATCATGATTATGACTTGGCTGGCTTATGATCTTATTTAAGTTCTGATATTAATTTGATTATGATTTGACATGAATCCTTGTTTCGTCTAATTGAGAAATGTTAGATCATTGGTTCATTGATTTTCAATATTAATTTATAACTCATTGGTTTCCTTCATTTTATTGTTAATTACATGTTAATTATGTTTATAATTTCTTTAAGAAAAATTTAAAGAAAAGGTAAAATCACCGGAAGTGATATGATATTATTCTAAAGAAAATAAATAATCACCAGAAGTGATATCATCCAAGAGAGCAATCTAAAGAAAATATTGCATCTAAGAACATATAAACCTGAAGTTTATAAATGGAAATAATACTACTAATACAAATATGTTAAAAGAAATTAAAAATTGTTGTCCTGTAGACACAATAGTATAAATATATCTTAGTAGTATTTATAAAATATTGTTGTCCAGTAGACACAATAGCAAAGAAATTCTAATGATTTTTAATATTATTTTCTTTTAAAATTAAATTTGTCACCTGAAGTGATAATAAAATAGTACATGTTACTAATATTAATTGTTATTATCATGTTTTACT